GTGCCAGGGTGACCATTTGCTACTGCTGCGGCTGTACCAGCTGTGGGCGGCCGGCGGCTGCAGCCGCGAGTTCTGCAGGACTTACGGGCTGGACCTGCGGGGCATGAACTTCGCGCGGGACGTGCGGCGGCAGCTGGAAGGTGGGCGGGCGGGGGCGGGCGCAATGTCACCCGCACCTGGCAGGGCGTGCCGACGCCATAATCTTTGATGCGTGCGTGTAAACGTATGCAGGTGCGCGTGTGCGCACGTGTGCGCGTGTGATGTGTATGTTGTGTGTGTGGTGAAGGCCAAAGATCTTGATAACTGGGGCAGTCAGGCATGGTCTCTTGCTCAGACGGTTCTATTGACATCATTCCAGTAGCTTGCGGAGCCTGGGGCGCTGGTGGTTGAGAAACGGTCGCGCGTGCCCTGTGCTCTGGCTGACCCCTGCAGGCATTGTGGGCCCAGGAGGCCGACTGCTGGACCAGGCCGACGGCGGCGGCGACGGCGCCCGCCGCGAGCAGGCGGGCGCGGGCCCCAACGGGCGCGATTACGCCAAGGGCGGCGGCGAGCGGGACAGGAAGCGGCGGCGCTCGGCTGAGGGCGGCGGCGCGGCGGACGGGTCCGAGCGGCCGCCGCCGCCGTCCCCCGGCTCCCTGAACCGTAGCGGCAGCCTTCGCGGAATCGGCCCCGCCAACGGCGCCGGCCGCGGCGGCGGCGGCGGCAGTGGCGCCTCCGCGGCCCCGCCGAGCGCGGCGCGGCTGGACGCCCTGCGGCACGCGCTCACAATCGGCTTTGCGAACCGCATCGCGCGGCGCATGCGCATGCACAATGGCTACAAGACCATGAACGCGGCGGGCCAGCTGGCGCAGCTGCACCCGGGTAGCGGCCACCTGAATGCGGACGACGAGGGGCTGCTGCCAGAGTGGGTCTCGAGGGGGGGGCTTTCCGCACACAAGAGGGGGTCTTGGGGGCAGGGAGGGTCATAGCGGGCAGGTCTGACAAAGTCGTCCTTGCTGCGCGCTCGGCGTCAGACAATACGTGACGTTGCGCCGCGCAGGTCGCTGCAGCCCTCCCTGACTCCACCCTATCGCCCCTGGCTTCTCTGCTGTCCAGATCCTGCGTTTGTAGGTCCTCACCCCAAACACTTGCTTGCACACACACATGCATACACACATGCACACACACATGCATACACACATGCATACGCACATGCACACACATATAATCACACTGCTCACTCGGACACCCCTCCTCACGCGGGCCTCCGCCCCGCCTCCCCCACCACCCACCCCCACCAAAAAGGTGGGTGATCTATCACGAGCTGGTGGCCACCTCCAGGCCCTTCCTGCGGCAGGTGAGGCTTATGGGGAGGACAACGGGCAGACCTCTGTGCGGGCGCACATCTGTGCTTTGAAATCCCTTCCCTGGGCCTGCCCTCTCTGCACGCAAACTTAAACATTTCCACACACACACACAGACTTCCACCCACTCGCACACAACTTCCCCCTACACACACACGCGCACACACACACACACACACACACACACACGCATGTATTGGTCGCCAGGTGTGCCCGGTGGAGTACCGCTGGGTGGAGCCGCTGCTGCCAAAGCTGGGCAGCGTGGACGTGAAACGGCTCAGCAAGGGGCGCCTGCTCTCCCAACAAGAGGAGGCCGCTGCCGCCGCCGCAGCCGCCGCAGCTGCAAAGGGCGGCAGCGGCGGCGGCAGCGCGCGGGGCGCGCACGCAGCAGCGGGGGAGGGGGCGAAGGGCCGCGGGGCCGGCGCCGAGGGGGAGGCAGGGGCGCAGCCGGTGAAGCGGAACGATGACAAGGCGGTGGACGCGGCGCGGCAGAGGTACCTGCAGCGGAAGCAGCAGCAGGCGGCGGCGCAGCCCGCGAGGAAGCGGTAGCGTGCGCGTGCGGCCTGCGGGGAGCTGCGCGTCGCGGCGTCGACGATTTGAGGGTGGTTGAGGGGACTCCAGTTTGTTGGCCAGAGCCGCGCCGCGAGGCGCGACGCCGATGGCAGAGATGCCGTGGCATACAGTGATGTTTTTTGTTTAATGCTCGCGCCACCTGATATGAGGGCGGCTGGTTGTTTGCGAAGGAGGGGAGGTGCAATGGGAAGGCAGCAGTGGCGGCCTGCGCAACCCTGTGTCCTACCACTGATGGTTTTGCTGCTGTGATTTAACTGCTGTTGCTGGCTGGGCAGACAGCCGCCACACTGATTTCAGGGGGCTGTGATGCGGTACTACACAGCAGCCCATGTTGGCGCCCTCCTTGCCTCTTTTAACCCTGCAGCCCAGGTTGTGAGGCGACCAGCCAGCTCCATTCATATGTGGACTGGATTGTCTTCAACGTGGGGCACAGTCACACATGGAAAGTGCAGCCCTGCTGCCGACAGCTGCAGCTGAGCTCACTCTACCTCAACATCAGCTGGAAGCTGCAGCCATGTCTGTGCTGCAGGTGCACGGTCACAGTGCAAAGAGCAAGCCAGGCGCAAAGCAGGCACAGGGCGTGTAGCGCATGCAGGAGACACGCGCGGGCGAGCGCAGTGCGAGGCAGCGCCGGGGCTGATGGAACCACCCGGCACGCCTGGGAGCAGGCATGCAGCACCCGTCAGAGGGGAGCCCGCTGGGCGGCGGCGGCGGCGCTGACAGTGCAGGTTGTGGTGTCAGGCAAGGGACCCAGGGCAAACGCAGCGTACTGGTGGATGTTGCTGGTTGGTTTGGGCCCGGTGCAGGGTGCGTCTTTCCACCTGGCATCAAAATAGCCTAGCAGGAGGTCATTCTGTATGCAGCTCTGAAAACATGGAACCTTCATATGGATGAGTGCAGGTGTACAAGGGCAGGCAGATGTACAAATGCTTCCGTCACCAGGTCAAGCGGGAGTCAAACACAGCTGACCATTTCCCACCCAGGTCTGCCGGAGGCGAGCACAATCGCAAGAACAATTAAAAAATGCAGCTCATTATCTGATCATTCCATCAGACAATTTAATTCAAGGTCATTCGCACCACCTGTATGGCTACAATGATGCAAGATCGTTGGCGTTGCTGTTTGTGCTGGCGTGTGGGACCGTGCATGTGTGCTCGGGGTCCTCCCGCACGCCAAAGCATGCAATCAAACAATTACTGCTATCATGCGTCGTCTTGTCGCTCACTGCGGATTGCCTGAATAACCGTCCAAGCTGGTGATCCAGATCGGCTTCTGCGGTTTTTGTGCATGTGTTAATGTGAAAAATCATTTGTATCACACCCCCCATCTTCCTGCTTTGTCGGTGATAGCAGTTGTGTCCTGACAGCACGCTGCCGAATTCAGCTTCAAACTCGAGCAGCGCCCGGGCATCAAGGCAGCAGCAGGGATCGGGGTATCGGCTTGATCACGCGACGTTGCCGATCAAGGGTGTCATGGTGAAGCCAGAGTTCGCGCCTGATAAGATCGCATCCGAGACCCGGGCAGAGGCGAAGATAGAGCCGGTGGAGGATGGTGCGATTACGCCGGAGTGGTGCAAGAAGCTGCAACAGGGGCTGCTCGCCGCCACATGGGCAGGCGCCACCGCGTGCCGCTGCGTGCTGCCGGCAAGGCAGCTGATGCATGTCATCAACCAGGCTGGGGACCTCTTCAAGGTCGAGCCAACACTCTTGGAGGTGCGCTCAAACAACCAAGCACTTGCACATATGTAGGCAGCACATGCCAAGCGTACGTTACGTGGCTCAGGTCGGGCGAGGAACCATTCCCTGCATGCAGCCACGGCACTGGGCATGTCGTGCAATTGCTAGCAGCAGCGCCGTCCGCGCAAGTGCAAGCGGCCGGTCCCATCTGCCGGCGCGGTTGCAGCTCAAGCCCCCAGAGCTCGGCGGCGGCCCCGTGACGGTAGTGGGCGATACGCACGGCCAATTCCATGATGTGTTGCGGCTGTTCGACACTGTCGGCCACCCAAGCTCGGAGCGCATATTCGTTTTCAATGGTGAGCCCCTTATTTCGAGCCCAGGCCCCTGGCCACAATGAAGGAGACGGCGCCTCGCATGCGGCCCCGCCGCACGCGTAGGCGATCAGCCGCCGCGCCGCACGCACGCGGCAGGCGCGCCGCCCGCCGCCCGCGGGGAGCTGCGCCTGCCTGAGACCAGCATCACCGCCACCCGCGGCCCAGGCGACTTTGTGGACCGCGGCGCGTGGGGCGTGGAGACGCTGGCGCTGCTGCTCGCGTGGAAGGTGGCGCTGCCGCGGCACGTGTACCTTCTGAGGGGCAACCACGAGAGCACATACTGCACAAAGTACTACGGGTTCCAGGTGGGACCGTGCTATGGGAGGTGAATGGTTACGCAATTGCGCTAAGGGGGCTGCAGCAGCAGGCGAGATTGATCGCAAGCCAGCACTCATCATGCACAGCAGCTTGGGACTCATTATGTGTGCGCCGCATCTTGATCGACCCTGTGCCGCAGGGCGAGCTGACAGCCAAATATGGGCCGCAGAGTGGAAAACGCGGGGAGGGCGCAGGCGCGGCGGCGGACGAGGAGGCAGGCCAGCAGGAGGCCGCCGCCGGCGAGCAGCAGCAGCAGCAGCGGCTAGAGGGCCAGCATGAAAACGGCCACCACGAGCAGCAGGCTGGGACAAAGGAACAGCACCCGGAGGCCAACAGGGCGGAGTGCACGCACCACCACAACGGTGATATTTCATTGAAATCGGCAGCTGCGCCGGCGGGGCAGCAGGATGACCCTGCGGAGGGTCGGCAGCAGCAGCAGCAGCAGCAGCAGCAGCAGCAGCAGCAGCAGCAGCACGAGGGTGCCGGGGGCCACCATTTGCGAGCGAAGCGCGCATCTTCCCTCAAGCCCAGCGCGGCGGCGGCAGCTGCTGCTGCGGCCGCGGCCGCGGCGGCGCACCCCGCCAAGCCGCAGGCGCAGGCCAAGAAGGAGCTGCAGGACCTCATAAAGGCGACGCGCCGGCTGTTTGCGCTGCTGCCACTGGCGGCGCTGGTGGGGGACCGCACGCTGGTGCTGCACGGCGGCCTGTTCAGGGCGCCGCCGGCGGCGGGGCTCAGGGGCAAGAAGCGGCGCAGCGCGAAGAGCGGTGAGGGGGCCCTGGGGGCCGCGGGGACGAGCGCACGGTGCTGGCTGCCGCTTGCAGTCGCACGTTACGCACCTCCTGTTGCGGATTGGCGTCAGAGCAAACCGGTCATGTGTGCATTGCATTCCCTCGTGCGCTGGCAGGCCCCCTGCAGGTCGGGTCACTGGACGACCTGCGTGCGGCCAGCAAGGGCGGGCAGGACCCCAACGGTGAGGCGGCACGCAAGTGCGTTGGGCGTAGTAGTGTCTACCAGATGCCGGCAATGAGGCGCCTGCTGTTTGCTTGGTCACCTGGCGCATATGGCTGGTGTGCTTCTGCCTGGTTCTCTGCAAGAGTGAGGTGCACACACTCGAAGGCATGACGCAAACAAAACCACACAGACACCGCATCATGCAAACGGCCGCACGCACCTGCTCGCCTGCTCGCTCGATGGTCGGCCCCCAGGCCTGGGCGCGTCGCTGGTGGCGTGCGACGTGCTGTGGTCGGACCCCGTGATGCAGGAGGGGCTGCGGGAGAACGAGGCCCGGGGCGGCACGGGCTGCATCTTTGGGCCGGACGTGACCGAGGTGTGCAGGCCGGGTGCTGCCTTTGCCATGCAGCCCCTCCTCCACGGCTCGGCCCTGTCCGTGCCGCCTGCGGCGCGTGATTCGTGCGGCGCATGGCCTGGTCTGCTGCCTCTCAATCACTATTTGGAATCACAGAGTGCCTGCAGTCCCTGAAGCACGCCCCTGTGTGCTCAGACAGACTTACATGTGTGCACTAATGCAGGCAAACGCACCATCGCACACGCGTGCACACTGACACACTCACGCGCTCATTCTCCCCCCTCTCTCTCACCCCCCCCCCATGCACACACACTTTCACACACATGCGAGCCATGCATTCTCACACGCACTCACGCACACTCCCCCCTCCTCCGCTCCCCCAGTCTTTCTTGTCGTCCCACGGCCTTAAGCTGATCATCCGCAGCCACGAGGGCCCTGACGCGCGGCTGATGCACACTGAGCTCGGGCCAATGGACCAGGGCTACACGGTCGACCACACGGTGGCAAGTGAGAACCCTGCTCCCCCCCTCACCGCCAACACACATACACACACACACACACATGCACACATGCACAAACATGCACACACATGTGCGCGCGCACAACTTTCCTCCCTCTCGTCCCCGGGGGGAAGGGGGGGACTGTCGGTGGGCAGCTGGATGGGGCCGGCGACCTGTGAGTGGCGGGGGGGCGCATTCGAGTGGCCCCAAGCCGCTCAGACCGGACAGCAGGGGCCGGCCAAAAGAACTCTGCAGCCAGTCTGGCTGTCACCCAGCAGCAACGAGCCCCGCTGCCCAGCCCTCGGTTGTGATCGCGTCATCCATCTCCCCCAAGGTGCCGCCGTGTGTGCAGCCTTTGTCTCTGTTATCATGTTTCACCCCCCATGTCTTACCTCCCTCCCATGTACGTCACCGGCCCAACAGGTGGCCGGCTGGTGACGGTTTTCTCAGCGCCCGACTACCCCCAATTCCAGGCGGTGGGGCGGGACGAGGACCGCACCCGCAACAAGGCAGCGGTGGCCACGCTGGCGGGGCCGGCCTGGGACGACCCGGAGTTCGTGCAGTTTGAGGCTGCGCTGCCGCGGCCAGAGGTGGGCGGCCGTGGGGGCGCGCACGGCTGCGTTGTTCTCAGAGCGGGCGTCGGTTGTTTGGTTTTGCGTGCACCCGATGGCGCTCTTGCCATTTTGTTGCCTGTCCAATCAGACCCCATGTTTCGATATCAAGAACGTAGCAACATCGCAGCTTCACGCCTGCAGCCGCGGTGTGAGGTCATCCTGAACCCTGGAACGCGCGCAAAAAAACTGACGTGCAGGCGGTGCCTTACTACGACTTTGACGCCGTGACCGAGCTGGGGTCATCCTCGGATGAGGAGGAGGGCGACGAGGGCGCCTCAAAGGCGCGCGCCAGCAGCGCCGCCCCCGCAGGCAGCGCGCCCGTGCAAGCGCAGCCGGTGGGGCACGGGCGCGGCTCCAGCTCGCCGCCGCGCAAGCCGGCGGGGGCGGCGGCGGCGGCGGCGGCGGCGGCGGCGGCGGCGG